TCAGGTGTACCTGACTGCTGGGAAGACCTACCTGCTCGAGAAGACACTGAAGGATCTTGAGGAAGGGGCTCGGCACAGCGGCACTACTGACTCGGAGCTGTCAGAGCTGGAGGGCAAAGTGGCCTCGGCAGCCGCTCAGGTGCAGCAGGCAGAGAGCGAGGTGAGGGCTTGGCTCTGAGAGCTGTTTTGCCCAGACCCCTGGCCAATGATGGCAAACGAAGCCAGTGACAAATCCTCTGGCCACCATGTGTATGGTTTTTTCCTCCCTCTAAAGGTATCGGACATTGAATCTCGAATTGCGGCTCTGTCTGCTGCAGGGCTGACAGTGAAGTCAGTCGAAAAGGCGAGGAAGGAGTCGAGTGGGCAGGTGAGCGTAGAGGACGGTGGGTGCGAGAGGTCTCCGCCCTGAGATGTACGTGCTCCCCTGGGTCGCTGCTGCCTTCCCTGGGAGCTGTGGAAGGCTGCCTGGCTTGCTGACCTGTGCCCAGCTCCCTCCCTGCTGCCTGATGCTCTGCCCCAAGTCTCCAAGAGTGGACACCTCACTGAGGATAATGCTGATTCCTTACCTGCATCAAGGGAAGATTTTGTATTTGGGGTGTTCTTCCCAGGGCTGCAGTGAGGGTACACAGGGCTGCTGCATGCACCGCAGCCTGGACTCAACTCCTGCCTTTCCATACCAATTTTTATAATCGCAGTTCGTCAAGCAGAGTCGCTGCCTTGGCAGTGCGCTGCCTCTTTTGCTCACCTTAGGATCAAGCCAGGCTAAACAAAAGAGATGAAAATGCAAAGACAGGCAGACCGAGTTGTCTGCCTTCTCTGCACCCCCAGAAAAATCTCTGCCATTTCTCTGCCTGCAGGCTGCCTGCCTCCACTCTCCCGGTCCCACCAGCAGCAGCCCAGGGGAGTCTTCAGATGATGTTAAAGTGAGTATGTGTTTAATCTGTGCTGGCTAGTGCACCTTCCTGGTGTGCGTGTCCCACAGCGTTAAGCACAGGGACAACCAGGGTCTCCAGGGAGCTGCTTTCAAAGTGGTGGCCTCCGGGGGGACCTCTGTCCTCCCATCTCCTTCCCCACAGCAGGCTGCTCCCCTTCTCTTGCAGGCGATGCCCGGACCACAGGAGTTCAGGAGGAAATTCAACAGTCCCCTCGAAATCACCAGTAAGGACCGCAGCTCTGCCTGTGGGAGGTGGGGAAGTGTGGGTGGATGGGCTGGGCTTTGGGGGACGCTCAGTCCTCTCTTTCTGCCCCTAGTTGTGTCTCTGCATTGGGGGTCTCCTTCCCTGTGCTCGTGGCCTCCTGTTAGGATAGCCACAGCGGAAACCTGTCGTGGATAGCCTAGAAGGGAGGAGGCAGCGGGCAGGATCAGGGACAGTGACGGCAGGGTGGAGATCAGGCTGAGCTGGCTCAATTCTCCAGGAACCAGGGCTTTCTCTGCAGCCTGGGATCCTGCCAGTTAGACCTCAAAGCTTCACCTAAGCCTGTCAAGTCTTCTGATAGCAATTTCTTCCTCGCTTGGTCATCTTGGGGAAGGTATCCTTGACCCTGCTGCCCACCTTCCTCAGCCACTGGTCTCTGGTGGGTATCAAGCAGTCCACCACAGCCCAGTTATGACAAACAGCAGATTGGGAGTGCTTCGAAGCAGACAGTGACCTGAAACTTGGCACAGCAGCTTGTGTGACAAGGAGCAATCACTGGAAACATTTCATCCTGACCAATATCTGTGAGACCCATTAGGAAATGACTTTTCTATTTCTCTCTTATCTCACCTCATAAGCTTAAAGACAGAAAGAAGGGCTCTCTGTACAGATAATCGAAGATGAAGGGAGGGAAGGGGAGGAAAGATCATTTAATGCAGATCCCCCATGCATGCAGACAATTAACAGTCCTTTTTCCCAGACTGAGGCTGGTAGGCGGAAAGGGCCCTTCTTCTTGTGCTGAGGAGAAGTCATCCTCCTTCCTGCAAAGGGCAGGCAGATAAAGGCAGCCCAGGGGACACTTCAGCCCCGTGAGGAGATAGAAGGACAGGCAATTGGGATGGACATCACCAGGCAAGTCTAATCCCTTCTGCCTGGGGTGGGCGATGGGGTGACTCGCTCTCCTGACTGCCCTCCTCACAGGTCAATGACTTGCAAAGTTGGGCCTGCATAGTTGCAGGTGACGGAGAAGAGATGACTTCGTAGGTCAGGAAAGTGTCATAGGCTGGTGGGGTCAGAGCTCCTCGTGGGCTGGGCTTTTGCCATACCATGGAGTTTTCCAGAGCAGAGGTCTTGGCATTTGACTGGTGGCAGGCTGACCCAGCTTGCACAGCACTCTGGAAACCCAAGCAGTAGCAGCTTTTGTCTCGCTGTTGTCAAAGAGCTTCCCACTAACCTCCGAGAGAGGGAAGTGCAGTGATGCATCCAAAACCACAGTCAGTGGGGGATGATAAAACCCATGTGACTTGGTGGGTAACTGAAACCCCTAGCAAGGTGGATGAGGACCTGCTGCCCATCTTTTCTATTTTGCTGTAGGTCTTGATGACTCCTTTGACCGCAACTCCATTTACCGTGGCTCCCTGACACAGAGAAACCCCAACGGGAAGAACAGGAGAGTGGAGAGGCTCTTTGCGGTATGAACGCAGCCACCCAGAAGGGTCGCTCGCCTAAGCTCTGTGTGGGACCTGCCTCCCTGGGCTTGTGCAGAGTGACCTGTCCCACCCTGTGCTCCCCTCGGGCCAGTGGAGCCCCAGGCTCTCACCATTGGTCTCGCCATGTTGGCCGGTGAGGGTAGACATGATTGCGCATCATCCCATGAGGTCTGGGTTGCTGTAAGCCCCAGGGTGGGGAGACTAAGCAAGATGTACATCTTTGAATTCTCGCTTCCCACATGGTCCATGGGATGGGGCACGTCCTCACCCTATGCAGTGGCAGCTGGAGGGGACAGTGAGCGTGCTGGCCTCCTCGCCTCGGGTGTCTCGGGGTGGTGTGGGCACAGTGGTGAGCTGAGGTTTCTCCCCCTGGTGCCTTGCAGAAGCCTGTGATGACTCACCTGTCCTGAGGAGAGGAGCACCGTCCTGCATTTCACCGATGGTACAAGACATCAGCACAAAGCCTCACCACCTTCCCCAAAATGCTTGCTCTTCCTTCTCCTGCACCCATCTCTGAAACCCCATACAGGAGGGAAGCCGAAGGCCATGGGCAGGGGCCTTGCCAGGAGCTGCTGGGGAGAGGAGCGAGGCACTGGGTTGTGGACACATGGCCAGGGGCTCTCATGGGACGATGCAGGCATGAGACCTCAGCTTTGGGCAGCTCTTTGGTACCAGGTCAACCAAAGTGACCAGAGAGGTGCAGAGCAGGAGCGACCGCCTCATGGATGTCCATGTGGCTTTCAATCGTGGAGACTGGGGGCAGTGACATGACGCTCACTTGGCAAAAGCTGGTCCCAGCCCTTGACAAAAGGCCAATGTCATCTTCCACAGACATCTCATCACTGTCAGGGTCTGTCTCTGCTCTCTCCCAGGCTGTTGCTGAGCAGAGGCAGGAGCTGACAGCAGGCATGGGATGCCCTTGAGGTAATCCAGGAAGAGCAGGAACCCAGGCATTGCAGGCTGGGATTCACATCCCAGCACTGGTCCCGATGCCATGTGCTGTCCCTTGGAGCATTGCTTCCCTTCCCTGAGCAGCCAAGCAGGGCAAGAGCAGTGCTGGCTCCCTCCCACCGAGCACTTGGCCAAAAGATCTTTGCAAGAAGCTATGCAGACACCCTCTGAGGCTTCTTGCCACCATGCCTGAAGCAGCTGTGACCATCTGGGGATGTAAGTGAGGTGAGGCTTGCAGGAAATGGTGGCAAGAGAGGTTGGAAGAAAGTCCGGAGGTCTTGTTGGGGATTGTTCTGTTTTTCCAGCTCTCGAAGATGTCCCCTCTCCCTGCGAGGTTATACCAGCAAGTTCAGAAGGACTCAGCAAGCAGAGCATGGGTGCTTCTCTGTAGTCACCCTCCTCCAGAATCCCCAAACTGTTTGGTTTTCTCCAGCATTCAATTCTCTATATCCACTGATCACGGTGGATCCATGCCTGGCCCCATACTTGTGCCCAGGACATCAGGATGGGGAGGGGGTTGCTTTCCCTTGCGGAAAATTTTGGAGGAGGTTCAGGTTAAAAAATTTCTCTTCATACCAACTGGTGTCTGTCCTTTATAGCCCCCACCTCCCTCCCTCCACAGTGGGTGATGCCAGAAGGATCGCTTGCAGGTGGAGCGAGGATGTCAGACTGATGCTGGCAGTTTCCCATCAATGGCCACTCAGACTGGACCATTTTAGGGTATTCCTGTGCATCTGAACTAAAACCACTTTAGTTATGAGTGGTAGTGTGAATTCTTGTGCAAGCAACACATTGACATTTGTCATTGGTAGTAGTAGAGACTGCTAACTGTCTAGAAATTGGTCCTGCGCTCATCCCAGAGCAGTCTTGTAAGTCCATAGCCTGGACTTCCCAGCTGGAACCAAAACCAGTTTCGTATTTTAAAACTAAATCCTTCTGGCCTGAAGTTCGAAAGAGTAAGTGCAAAGCACTGCTGTTATAGAAACTCTCCCAGACACTGCAGCATTGCCAGGTGCATCTCCTGCTGCTCAGCTGGCCTCGATGCTAGGATGGCAGCTCCTAGGCAGGCAGAAGAGACCTCCACCAAGATCTGGGCAATGCTATGGGTTCACACCCACCCTTCTGGTGTCAGGGTTCAGCCTTCGCCACAGTCACACCTCTTGCTGTAACCAGTTTCAGCTGTAACTCAAGTCCTTCCATGCAATTGCTCAGGTGCTTGACCTTGAGAAGAAGCCCTCGCCTTGAGCCTCAGCAGTGCAAGCTAAAGCCTTGTTCAGGCTGTAGTCACCCACCTGCTTATAAGCCGGCTCCCTGCCCCATCTGCCTGTGTAGAGATTATATATATATGTACACTAAATCATGCAATAAAGCCAATTTTGTGTCCAGAACCTAAGGCCCATTTTGCAGTGTCTGTTTTTTCAGCTCACTCAAGCAAAAGCTCCTTTCTCTCCCTGTCCTCTCCTTTACCCAGCTGGTGCACACCTTGTTTTAAAACTAGGCAGGTGAAAGCAGGCAGGAACTGAATCCGCAGCACCGAAGCAGAACAGGGGGCAATGGCGATGAACGGGATGGCAATATGACCTGTCAGATGCCGGTCACGGGGCCGCGAGTGGGATGAGCGTGGGTCAGTGGTACCCAGCGGTGAGGCCAGCCAAGCGAAGGGGATGCATGGCTTGGGGGTAAGGAGGGGCTGACCCTGAAACACATCGCTCTGACTTGCGTGGAAACCCAGGAGCAAATCTGGGAGCTGAAGCCACCTGAAACACAAACCCACAACATTGAGGGGTTGCTTTAAATCTGTATTAAATAATAGCGACAACCTTGGGGTGGAGAGAGCCCTGCTGAGCCCAGGGTCTGGGTTTCCTTGGCTGATGGGGTTTTTTTCTCCTCTGTGCCTCCTGCCCCCTGCCTTTGATGCCCCTCCACAGATGCCATCCTCTGTCCTATGCTGCTCCTGTGACTGTCCCCCACCCTGGCTGTGCTCGGGCATCGGAGCTGACTGCAGCATGAGATGGAGATCTGTCCCAGCGCAATGCCAGCCCCACATGGGGGTGGCAGGCAGACCTCTTCCCCCTGCCCACACCCCACTAGTGATGGTGTCTTCACCATCCTGCCAACGTGGAGATGTCCCTGTTTCGGGATGTCCCTCAAGTCTCAGTAACTCCAGTTTCATCTGGGGGTGGATGTGTGTCCAGACCACAACCAGCCCCCTGTGCTGGGGACCCAAGCTGTCTCCTCCAGCATCACATCTGGCAGAACAAATATCATCAGAAACCTTTACCTGGGGGTGGTTTAACCTATTTAAAAAATGGGAGGATTGAAGCCCACATGCCACAGGGATGAGCCCGCTCCTGCCAGCCTGCACAGCCCAGCAAGTTGCTATCCCTTCTTCACATTTAATTTTCAGATTTCCTTAAAACTGCTTTTGGGGGGAAAGGGAGGTTGAAGGTGAAGGGTGGTGGCAACCAGCATAACCCCTGTGGTGGAGATGATAGTTTGCAGCAACAGGACCTCAGGGTTCAGGGCAGCATCACCCACTGACCCCCTGCAGTGTTCACTGGGTGAGAACCTCCCTGCAGGTGGGGTGATGGAGCAGAAAACTTCCCCTTGTCCGAATAACACCAGGTTGAGAACATGGATTAAGATATTCCCAAGCTATCTGCCTCAGCCGGCAGAAGATAAAATGCTGGTCCCTTCTGAGTCATGAAAATCCCTGTGCTGATTTGATGAAAGGGGACGGCAGGGAGGGGAGATGCCCCAGCTCGGTCCCCGCGGGGCCTCGCCTCTGACATCAGCACAAAACCAGCCATAAAAACGGCAACCGGAGGGGACTCCGGCTCAGACGGTGGCCGTTCGGCTCAGCGGGACGGCAGCCGGGCACCTCGCCTCGCCTCGGTAAGTGGAGCCCCGGCTGGGGGAGCGCTGCTTTTCTCCCTCTCATGATGCTTTTGTTGCTGGATAATTTCCCGAGAGCTGCTTTGCCTGTGTGTGCCTGTCTTTGTGTCTGTCCAGCCAGCTGGGGGGTTTCCAAAAGGGGCTTATAAAAAGTCGGCAGCTGCAGCAAACCTGAGCTCTTAGGAGCCCAGACTGGTTCCTGCCCGGCGTGCTGCAAACATCTTTGCAAAAAGTCCCCGGAGATGAAGCTGCCGCCACGACCCCGCTGTGTCCTGCTTAAGGCTGCTCTCCTGCTTCTGCCCCTCGCCCTGCTCCCTCATTGCAGATGGCTGCAGAAGTCCAGCCCATTGCCCAGCCCACCCTGCACTGTCCCGCTCGTTGCCTCGGTGCTTTAAAGCATGGTACTGGGTGCTCTGGGTTCATCACTTTGGCAGCCAGGTCCGGGGGTGGGTGCCCAGGGCGCAGAGGTGGCCGTGGTCCATCCATCACTCAGCATCCAGCAGCAAAACACATTTGTGTCTCCGGTCCCGTGTTTTGGTGCTGGCCCCACTCCCCACCTCCTGGGCTGTGGGGGCCATGGGCGCGCTGGGGTTCCCAGCCAGAATGGGCAATGACAGGCCTGGCCTAAGGCACTAGGCTAGGACAAAACACTATTTTAATGAACACGAAATTTGTACAACTCACGTTTGGAGGGCAGACCTTTCCCAGAGGTAGCCCCAGGAAAACCCCCTGCCCTCTGCAAAACCAAGCTGCTCTGAGCCCGTTGCACCACAGCCTGCCCAGGGATGCTGTGATGGGGATAGCAGCGATACAATTGCCCCATCCCCTCTGTCGCAGCCTTCCCCTCCTGATGGCGGGGTCCCCCTGCGAGCATTGAACTCAAGTGGGGTGTCTCCGTGATGGCCAAACTTCTTTGCTCCCGCAGCCACATCGGAGGCCCCACCGTCTTCGTGGCACCAGCGAGAAGTGTCAGGGGCTGGG